GCTGACCCACTCCACTCTCCCTCTTGATGTGGGCGAAACCTAGAGTCCTACTTGTTATAACAACTCTGTGTGTCGGGTGGGGGGAGGAACTGCCGCAGTTCTTACTGCTTCAAAGCTTTCGAGGGTTTATGTTATTTCTCTGCTGGCTCCTACACAAAGATTAGGAGTCAATGAACACTGCATGGCATTCGGGATTATATGAATGCAGGAACTGGAGTTGATGCAAAAGTGAGAGGAGTTAAGCTGAGAGGACTTGGACACCATCCAGTTCCCCACTCATTTCTCCAGCTTTTAGTCCATTAGTTCTGAGATTTTCTCTGCATTCCCAAAAATGAGAGAGCCCCTCTTATTTAAAGGGAAAATTGAGGCTCCTCCAGAGTTCTTCATGAAGGAATACATCCTGCTGTACAGTTTGAGAGAGATTCCACATTTTGTAAGGTAACTGGGGGCAGTGTGGTATGTTTTGAGAGGTTTTGGGCAAAGCAGAGAAGGAATTTGAATTCAGCCCTTTTTGTCTCCTAGATCTCCAGATGTTCTTCTTTGATGGAGCTTGATTTATTGCTGCCTCTGTGTTCCCTTGCAAAGAACTGGAGGCAGCATCCATAGCTTCTTCTCCCTTTTATCCTCACAACAACAGCCCTGTGAGGTTGATGAAGCTGAGGGTCACTGACTGGGCCAAGGTTACCCAGTGAGCTGAGTGAGAACAAGAACACAGATCTCCCAAGTCCTGGTCCTAACACTTTAACCACTATCCCACACGAGGCCGTCTCCTCCACAGGGCAACAGAGTGAACGTGGATGAGAACTGCACTCATTTAGAGGGAATCTTCTCTTTAATCCATGTGCTTGCTCATCCATATGCATTGGCCAAACAATTCTGTGGAACAAAAAGAGACAAAAGCTGGTAAATGGGAAGTCCTGTTTGGGACAGATGGACCTGGACATCTGGTGGGCTGCTTCCAGGCCTTTGCTAACTGGTGCTCCAGGAGAAGGTTTCCCCTCGAGCTTGAAAACCTGCATGTAAATAACCTGCCCTTGAGCTTAGTACTTGATTCTGCAAATGCAGAAGGCTGACAGGCAGAGGTTGAACTAGAAGTGGGAAGGCAGCTTGCTTTTCTTCTCTGGCCATCTGATTTAACGTCAGTTGTACAGGTTCCAGGAATCCTACCAGCAAACAATTTCTGATGAAAATGAAGTGTACAAGTGAGAGAGGGTTGGGCCTTGCTCTGCACTAAGCACACCATCATCATGTTCTGGGAAATCTGAAAGCTGTTAGAAAGACATGACCCAGGCTGATAGTTCTACGCAGCTCTGTATTTACTTTTGCTTTCAAGAAAGAGTATAGCACGCCAGTTCTGCATTTGGCTCCTTGTTGTTGTTTGTTTAAAGAGGAAATGGAAGGTCAAATACCAGTACAACAGTTGCTAATACAGAATGGTATTACACAGGCAAGAGGGCTCATAAGAGAAGGAAGAAACAGTCAGCTGTACACATTTTTACATCCAGATCGTACTAAATACAATTTTAGATCTAGTTAGGGTGATAGTTCATTTAGAGATGGGCATTCCAGGGGCCCAGAGAGGAGAAGGGTGCTGGCAGTGCCTTAGCCTCTCTTCCTTGCAAAGAAAGGAAGGACATTTCTTTGGGGGGGGGGGTGAGGGTGGCGTGGAGGCAATCCTAGTCTCAGTGCTCTTCCTGCCATCTATGGGAAATGCATTTGGATGGCCCTCTGAGGACTGTGTCCTAGAAGGATCTGTGACACTACAGCTGGCTCTCCCATGTTCCTTTTACTGTGCTGGGCCACTGCTGGACTGAAACTGGGAGTCCCCTTTGAAAGCCACCTCCAAAAAGATGAGAAAGAGCCATGCCCGGGGGCTCAAAGGAGCCTTGACTTATTTAGGATGCAATCTTACGTGTGTTTAGACTAGAAACTGGAGAAGGTTGGTGTCTCAAGTAGTCAGACTGGGTTATTCCCTGGACCATCATCAAATTGCACCAAGTTCTATCCTCTGGGTCCTGTTAAGTCTTAAATGGGAATTTAGCTGGTGTGTCTGACTTAAAGGCAGACCATTCATTCAAATTTCCAGGTGACCGTATTCACAGTACAATCATATGCTTGTCTTCTCGGGAGTTCTGCTGAATGCAGTCAGACTTTTTCCTGGGTTAAATGTCTACAGTAAGATTGCGCCCCTGGTCATCTTTTAGTGGGCGAGTTTCAGTTTTGTCAACAATGCAACCTGTGTTCATGCAGAAAGACTGCCAACTCTCAGAAAACCAAAAGTCCTCAAGTATAGTAACATTAAGATCTGAACACCGCATACAGTTCTTTGATCACAGGCATGAAGCCAATCTGAGCACTGCACAGTGATTTCAAGCAACTGCCATTCCCTAATACACATAAATTTGCTTTTAGATTGAACAATTTCTGTGACAGGCTTGTGGCAACAAGCAAAGTAGTTATGTGGCCAGGAAAAAGGCAGGAAGGCGATGTCTACCCCGGGCCCCTGATCTGGTGAACTGTCCCTCCTCTCCTACCATAAATTGCCCCATAAAAGTGTCATGACTTTTTTTAAAATGCATGATTCTGTCAAAGTATCTTTATTCTACCTATAAGCTGCACTGGAAGGATTTCTGTCCTGAAGCGTGGGAGGTCTGTAATTGCAATACAGAGTAAAGTGTGGCTGGGAGTATTGGCCTGAGGCTTGGGAGACGCACGTTCTGCTCCCCACTCCATTGGGTCACTTTGGGCCTAACTCTCAGCCTAACCTCCCTCACAAGGACTTTGTGAGATGAAATGGAGAACCTTTGGGTTGCTTTGGGTTCCTTGCAAAAGGGGGAAAAAGTGGGAAATAAAAGTAATAATGACTTTTAAAAGGGACGGTGTCCCTATGTGCCCACTTTGCAATGTGCTCTGCCCATGTTTATTATTCTGCCAACATGGATGGAGCAGCAGCATTAAGTTCAGTTGTGCTGGCCTTGTGTGACAACCTGTCACGCGGTGGCTCCACCATGTGCTGAACTAGTGACTGAGGTTTGTGCTGGCCCAGCATATTCCGAGCAACCAAAGCATTATCACAGCAGCCCTTACAACAACCCTGTAAAGAAGGTCAGGATTTCGCATCTCGATAATCATCAAAGCAGAGGGCCTAAGGGCGCCCTATGGACTCATGGCAATAGAAACTCGAATGGGATTCTGGACAGATACACTGAAACTGCAGTCTCGACATGCCTGCTTGGTATTGTGCACATTTTCTAATCTATGGGATGATTCACTTAACCATTAGATTTGCGGGGGCTGCTTGAAGTCCTTGTGTGCATCAGCGTTTTTCCTGTCTGCAGCTGCTACCACACACAGTGTTAGATTGCCTGCAATTGCAAGCCACCGAAGGACGAGTTCTTCAGGTGCTTCCAGAAGAGGCTTTCATTGCAACATTGCCCTGCAAGAAAACGGAATCTAAAAATTCCACGCCTCTCTGCTTGCACACGGTAGCAAAGCATGGGTTAATGACTCTGTTGTTTGTCTGGCATGTGCTCCTGCCCTTTCAATCAGCAGCTGCTCTGTGATGTCTGAACCTGTAGATCAGCAATAAATTGGAGGCTAACTGTGGGTTGCTTAGCCCATAGTGTCTGGACTGAAACATCACAGAGCTGGGCTGATGGGAGGCTGCAGATGCAGGCTGGCAGTCTTATGCACAGTGGCAACTCATGGATGGATGGAATGATTGTGAGAGCGGCAATTTTATGGGGCCCCAGTGGCTGCTGCCTTCCACTCGTTGCTCTCTCCTGCTTTTCCACCAATCTTTCTTTTTCAGTATTGCAGACAAGTGAAACGGGAAATGCTTCTGATCCGTAGTGCTGGCAGCCCAACCGACTAGGCTGCTTGGATGCACCTAACAGGTGAACTCGGGAGATCTCAGGGGAGGCATTGCCAGCATGTTTGCTCCCCACATCAGCACCACCTGGCAGCAACCCTCTTGCTGGCTCCACTCACAGGGGCTGCTTGGTCCGGATCTTACTGGAGTCCTGTGAAGTGTATCTAGTAAGAGGCGGCAATTCACGCCACCCTGCTCTACAGTCCTACATACCCCCACCTTGGGATAAGCCACAGATGCCCGCACCAGGCCAATGTGCACTGGACTGTGCATTCTGGGCTGCACCTGTGGGTTTGCGGTGCTTCGCAGAACCGATCGATCCCACAGCTCTGCCGGCTCACGCGCAGGACGCGCAAACCAGAGGCCTGGGGCTAAGGCAGGGCAGCCGTCCTTGAAGAGCCGGGCGCTCCTTGAGACCGATGCCCACCGCCCCCTCCGGCGCACGGGGCAGAGGCTGCGCAAGTGGCCCGGCCACTTCCCCACGACTCCCGCGGGCTCGCCGCTGCGCGCACCCGCCAGCCTCGCCCGCATCTGAGCCAGCGAAGCGGAGGCTGGGGCCGGGCAGGTTGCACGGGGGCAGCCGCGCCGTGGCACCGTCGCCACGCCCTTCGCTGGAAGCATCTGCCCGTGCCTGCCAGCTGCGCCCGCCTCCTGCCCAGCCTGGTCAAGCCGATCCGCGCCGCGCGCCTGCCAGGCTCCCGGAGATGCCACTTCTGGCAAGCAGCAGCAACGCCTCGCTCGCAAAAATGCAGCCTCTCCCCCGCTGAAGCGGGCGGGAAGCGCCGAGCAGAGGGAGGCGCCTGGCGCCGCACCTCCGAACTCAGCCCCCGGCTGCTGCACTTCCTCGGGCGCTCCCGATCTCGCGGGGAACTAAGGAGGCGGGAAAAGCAACGTGCCCCTTCGCGCCGCGGGCAGAGGAAGATGCCCGCCGCCTGCCCCTGGCCATGAGCTCGGCCCGCTCCTCTCCGCCTCCTTGCCCAGCCCAGCCCAGCCCAGCCGGCAGCCGCGGGGGGCGGGCGGAGCGGCTCGGAGCGCACGGGGAGGCGGAGGGCGCAGGTAGCCGAGGCGGCGGCGGCGGCGGCTCCTGGCGGCAGTTGGCGGAGCAGCGGATCGCCGCAGTGTGGCCCCGATGGGCGAGCTCGAGGCGAGGGACTCGCTCGGGCCCGGCGCGCAGACCCCGCCGGGCAGGGCCCGCGGCTGCGAGAGCCACCACGCCGGGGCCGGGCGCCGCCGCAGAGCCGTGCGCGCCCTGAGCAGGCTGGCCCGCCGTCTCCTGCAAACTTTGCGGGGGGCGCGGCAGCAGCGGCGGCGGGAAGGCGCCGAGGCGGAGGACGACGAAGGCGGCTTTAAGCGCCCGCCGGGACCCGACCGCGACCGCGGTCAAGCAGGTGGCGGCGGCGGCGGCAGCGGCACCCGGCGCCTGTCGCTGGGCGCGCTGAGCCCACCCCCGGGGGCCAGTTCCGGGGACCCGCGCCCGCTCACCCCCGGCGCGCAGGGGCTCAAGAACCACGGCAACACGTGCTTCCTGAACGCCGTGGTGCAGTGCCTGAGCCACACGGAATTGCTCGCCGCCTTCCTCCTGCTCGCGCTGCCCGACCAGCAGGGGCCCCCCAGGCCGGGCTCGGGCTCGGGCTCCGGCTCCGGGGAGGTCACGCAGCACTTGGCGGCGCTCGTTCGCGCCCTCTGGACCCTCGAGTACACGCCGCAGCTCTCCGCAGACTTTAAGGTAGGCGCGGGGGGGGGGCGGGTAAGCGAGGGGGGAGGGCGCTTGTCTTCCTACGGCTGGGCAGGGACTTCGGTAAAGCAAATCCCCCCCTCCCCCGAGTGGTGAGGTGAGGAGGAAGAAAGCTCCGTGAATAACGCCTGCATCCTCCGCAGCCACCTGTAACCCTCCGTGCAAGCACTTTTGATTTAACCGTGCCTTGATCTCAGTTCGGAGAGCTCCGAATCTAAGATCGTTGCTCCGATCTCAAGTCAGAGTGAAGTCCGCCGGAGCCTGTGCCTAGAAACGGGGCGCCGGAGCCCGGCGCGCCCACACGTGAATTCTCACTCTCAGCCTCGCTGAGGGCCTTCCAAGTGGCCTCCCGGCTCTCAAAAGCCTCCCCTGGGCAGGTGAGGAGGCTCTCCTCGCTTACATTCACCTTTCTGGCCAGCGACCTGCCTAGTTGCACCGTACCTGCCCTTTCATGTAAAGCAGCTCGCTCGCGTTCCTGTGCAGGCCGATTCGGCAGCGTACCGAGGGCAGGCTGATTGCCTACCGCGAAGGAGATGGTACTGCTAACCAACAGCTGGGTGCCTGGGCTGCTCCAGAGAGTTCAGAGATGAAATAACTAAAGGCTGTTTCGGAGGGGGTGGGAAATCCGTGCTTTTGGTGAGTTTTCAACTCAGAGGCTAATGGTGGGTTCATCCTGGAGCAGCTTGATCTGCTCAGTGTTCTCTGCGAGGATAATGGTTGCTGTGGGATGGGCTGCTGGTCATGTCTTTGCCCGCTGTCGGGATGCCAGGAAAAGCACGCTTTCAGTCTCTGTGGAGTGTCTAGCTGTGAGAGGGTACTAGAGAAAGGTTGGCGTGCTACAGAGAGATCCTGTTGAAGGGCATCGTGTCTGGCTGGCTCGGCTGCCTCTTTGCTCTGAGCAAAGGCACCGGGCGTAAGGTGCACTGGGCAGGTAGTAGCTGCAAAGCGTTGTACATCTGGGAAGCCCTGCTGCACTTAATGGGGCTCAGCATTTCTATGGTGCTTTGAAGCTGAAGCTCAGATATTTAATACGATTGTGTAACTGCTGTGGAACTCCTTGAACACCTTTCGCTCGTATCACAGACAGGGAGCCGAACATGGCCAGCAGGTGGGGAGCAAAGATCAGAGAGGCTGAAGCACCGAGCTGGCCCATCTCTCTCCTGCAGAGCGCTGTGCCAGCCTCATGCCAGCGTGGGAAGCGGAGGCGTCTCCGTATGTCAGATGCTGCCACCGGGGCAGAAGGGCTGCACTGTTTGATCTGGCCTTCTTGCTCCCTTGCCCTGGTCCGTTTATGGGGTCGTAAAGCAACTGCTGGGACAGGGAGGAGAAAGATCTCCATTAGTGCCGGCAGTTTGCAGATAGGTCAGTTTATGGTTTGGAGAATGAGATTCTGTTGCTCAGAAGCATGAGCTGGGTGAAAGAGAGATTGTGTAGTCTGCCCACCTCGTCGGTCACAGGGTATGCTTTCCTTCACGGTAATCCCCATGCGGTTGCAAGGAAGTCCTGTGGAATATGGGTCATGGGTGTGGCTTGCAGGTGGGCCTCCATCCAGCTGTTAATAGAGCCAGGCAGTGTAGGTGAGATGCCCCAGCTGCACGGCTGCTTCACCTGGAAGGCTGCCTTTGGACCAGTGCACTGAGCTAGCAGTTTGTCAGGCTGACTTGTTTAAATCGCTGCCGCTTTACTTCCCATGCACCGTACAGGGCTGGATTAGCAATAGAGAAAGAGGCCTTTCCTCCAGGAGGGGGAGTGAGAGGAGCTGGGATTGCAGAGAAGGAATTTCCGGGGGGGGGGGGGGGAGAACTTTTTTGCGAGGAGGGAGAGGAATTCATTCCCTAGAAAAGTGGACTTAGGAAAGGTGGGATTAGGAGGCCCCCGGGACAGAAGGCTTCTCATTTCTGTTTGTTGTTTGAGGCTATTAATTGTTCACTCCTGTTGACAGATTGGATTTCTTTGGAGGTGTGCTTTTTCTATCCCTGATACTCACACTTGGCTGCTGGCTATCAGAGGTGGTTTGAAGCAGAATGCCTGAGCCATCTCTGGCTTTGGCAAAATCTCATGTTCCTAATCTTTGACAGTCCTGCTGATACCAGGATGGGTATATGTGTGCATGCATATGGCGCCTTCTGCCTTAATGTGGGAGCAGCTGCTTTCAAAGGTGACATTGTTTCAGTTTTGTCTTTTTTCCCCCAATGTAAGAAAACTGTACGCTATGGAGGAAGTCCAGGTGTATACTGGGTTACAGGTACGCTTTAGAATCCTGCAGGATTTCATTATACAGTTGTTTCTGGAAACACAGTTTTCAGGTTCTACAGGAGATAAATATGAAAGTAGAAAATTAAGTAACAATTAACATAAGTACACAACCCAAAAATGGTTTGTGTTCTGGACTATGAACAAGGGCATAGGTTCTGTACTACAGATGTCAAACTGTAGTGTTTTATTTCCATATCGAGTGCACACTTCCTCACATTCACAAGTGCACTTAAAATGACTGGTTTATACTGGATGTGAAGTTCTGAAGCCTTTGGAAGCTTATGGGAGAGAGGAGGACTGGTGGTGGAAGGAGAATTTGAAGAGCAACATTTTTGTAGATGCAGGAGGAAGAAACTGTTTCCAGGACACCATTGTTTGATGACTGCATGTGTGAATGAGCAACTGCAGATCTGTCACCACGGAAATAAACATGTCCATGCCCCCCCCCCCCCCGCCCCATGTCACCTCAGATACAAGCTTTCACACTCTCATTTGCTGGTCATCCTATGCTGAGTAAACAAACAGTGTTAGCGGATAAGCGTGCAGGTTTGCAAATAGTTTTGCCCTGATTTTGAGGGATGGAAAAATGCAGTTTGTACTTTCAAAGGTGGAGCTTCTCACGTTTTTTCTTCTGTGCCAGAGATATACAACTTATCCCTCCAGAACCTTACCTGTATCCCCATAGGTGCCCTGACCCACTTGCCTGGGCACCCTTCCCCCTCCCTTTGCAAACCTAATACAGAACCCCCTGCCACAGCTAAGAGTGATTTGCATCAGGATAACTGCATTGTGTATATGTGTATTCGGTCCCCTACCCCTGAGGCATGATCTCTTGTGGCCCTCGGGGCTGAAATGGTTGGGCACAGTTTTCTGCCATCAGCCTCTGTGCAGGAAAGCTATGTTGCCTAATGTAATTGCCATCATGCAGATTTGTCTATTTATTTATTTATAAAATTTGTATGCCGTCCAATTACTTGCGTCTCTGGATGGCTTACAGCATAAATTGACAACCCACTCTGGCTGCAAGTTAATAAAAGTACAATAGTACGATTCAATATTAAAACATATTGATTAAATAAAAAGGTCTTGACCTGGCGCCAAAAAACATATACTGACGGCGCCAGGCAGAACTCTCTCGGGAGCGCATTCCATAGTCGGGGTGCCACCGCAGAGAAGGCCCTCCTCCTGGTACTCTGTCTCCTGGCCTCTTTCGAAGAGGGTTCCCAGAGGAGGGCCTCTGCTGCCAATCTTAGGAGGTGGGACGGCATGTAGGGAAAAAGGCGTTCCTTTAGGTATCCTGGTCCCAAGCTGTTTAGGGTATAGCATTTATTTACACTCCCATCTGAACCAATTGGCTGTGTCATGCCTTAGAGGCCGAGGAGCAGGGCTGAATCTTCTGGGGAAAGCCATGAATGTCCTGTTTGTGGATTTACATGCACAATTACTTGGGATGGAGCGAATACCACTGAAAGCACTTGGGGCTGTCTTGTGACTAAACATCCACAGACTTGTGCTGCTGTTGCTGGTTTATACACAAACCACCACTGTTTTTAACATTACAAAAATAAAAGAAATAAGAAAGTTTCCAGTGTCACCTTGTCCACAGGTTTTGACAGAATCCATTCAACAGTCATCAGCCAACTATCAAATGCTGAGTAATCAAAACGATGTTCTTGTGTCATATGAGCCAGCCTCATGCCTTACTCGCCGTTGGCCTGGCACTCACCAACTTCTTGTGGATATTTACCTAGTGCAGGGTGTATTGGTCTGTTTATAGGATTTGGGAACTGAACCAGAGCAGGAGGAGGAGTTTTTTCAGGGACCTGATGTAAAATGTGAAAAGGATCTTCACAGTGCACTCCCCATTTCTGAAATGAGTACAAGGCAGTTTCCCACTGGAATTTTGGTTTGGGCCAGGCAGTTTCTCACACAAGCAACATTGCATTGTGAGGGTGAGTTTGGAGGATTAAAATCTCCCCCGGATCTCCCTCTCCAAAAGCTGAAAGAAAGTAATGTGTGGAACCACTGCTCAGCCTTCATCCACATTCACAGTTCTCGCTGCTGGGTGGGAGGGCCCTTTGGCGCTCACACACCCTCTGTTTGTTTATTGTGATGTCGAGCAGTGCTGTGTGCCGTGGACTGTGTTTCTAGGAAACAGCACAGCAAAGGACTCCGGGAAAGAGACCGTGCAGAAAAGAGACAGTGAGAATAAGAGAGTCCTGTTGAGAAAACCTCCGCTCTCGCTGCCATCACAGACAATTTCACATTCCTGTGGAACATAATCTGTTCTTTTCTAGTTCCATTTTCTCACATGCTTCTGAGTTACAAAGAGTTTGGGAATGAAGCGACTGCACTGAATCACATACACAAACCCCCCTGTTGTCTGGTCACCTGGGAACTGATTGCCGTAGGGAGCCTGCTTGGTAACTTTACCCTGGGAAAATGATCAGGAAGACTTGTGTGTGATGGTAGGTGCAGAGAACAGAGACTGCTCTTGGTAGGAAGAGAGGGGATCCTTGGAAGCGGAGCTCCTGCTTCCAGCATGGGCTGAGCAGGGTTGCTCTTGGAGCAGTGCTTTTAAACCCTAAAGTGCAGAACTGACTTGCTTTATAGCAGCATTGTCAAAATCATTGAATCTTTCTCTGTCAGCTTTGTCACTCTGGGGCTAGCTTTGAGCCTTTCTGCATTCTCAAAGGAAATTTTCTCTCAATTGCAATTGGCACCTAGCCTGCTAT